TTGTTTTGTTTTTGTTTTTTTGTTTGTTGTTGCGAACAGTTTAACATAATTATGGAATCGCTATGGGATTCATACAACCAAACGGTGACCACTTCTAGCGCGGACGAGATGTCGAAGACCTTATTTCATTGGTTAGAACGCAACTGTTGTCTCATTCAGTTGAGGAAAGGTATGCCATTTGTTCTCAACTTTCTCTGTATTAAAGTTATGATGAATTATGTTGTAAAGCAAAGTGTCATAAGATCTAAATATAATGATTGGTTAATGTATACAAAACAATAATACCTTAAATGCAATGCAATAATAGCACATAACATGTTATATAAGAATTGAATGCTAAATGAAATCACGTATTGTTTGCACTGAACAGATGTGTTGAATTCGTTACGCTTTCTCAGCACTTCAACAAACATATTGACTGATCCCAAGTCATTGCCAGACGAGGCTGTATTGGCGGTCACGAAGAAAGAGAAACCATTGTCTTAATGAGAGGCACAACTAATCCATTGGATCCATTGGAACAGCTATTGCATAGTTGAAGAGCTTTTCTACAATTTATAATCAAATCGTTGCACACTTTAATGCTTTTTCAAAATAGTGTTTTCAAATACATGAATAATAATTAAACAATCATAAGATCAGTACAAATGTTTGTTATATAAGTTATTATATTATATGCCATAATATGATGAGTCTATAAATACTATATATACAGTATATGTTTGTCCTTTTTAATCTCATTATAGCATAAATTTCAGAGAATTTAATGTACGTTATCACAAGAGTTATAAAACAAAAAAGCATTATATATTATAATAACCAAAATATTGTTATTTGCAATAAACTTTTTATTATTATTATTTACAGAAACCAATGGTTTTAATTTATCGTTATAATTAAACTTTTATTGTGTTCGCTACGAATTCTGTATGTTTTGTTTGCCATAACCACTTTGATTTTGTTTAATTTTTAAGTTTAATAATCTGTTAATACGAATCATAATTTTCTAATATATGTTATGTTGACTTCGGAATACCTGCCATTCATTTAATGTGTTAATAAAGTCCTAGAAATTGATTTTGTTTTCATTATACGTATCGATTTGAAGGTTATAAAGGTTTTCACTATTTATAAATCATCGCAAAAAGGATTGCATAAGACTTCGCATTGAATAGCCGTTGGGCGGAGAGGGAGGAGAGTATCGCTAAAACCTGTTTACCTTTTGTGTGCATTTATAGAAGAAATCATTGAAAACTGTTCCGAATCGTCACTCTATCACATCCCACACACCTTTCCATCGCAATTATATACCTATTTTGGAAAGTTTTCATTAACTCTGCGTCCAATAGATATTGAGTACTCCTTTTTGAACATCTTTTTCACTGCAAGTATTCTAATAGCGATCGTAAAAGTGATAAAGAATTCAAGAATTCTTGAGAGAAAACTTTGTTTGCTCTTCAGTCTTGTCTCGCATTTCATGTTTGAATAGTCAGTCAGTCATGGATGACAGCGCAGGCTATTCCAGAGGTAATCCTCAGACCCTTTGTGTCTAATTCTGATTGTGTTGCTAAACACCTATTCCCTGGCGATTCTGTTATATTCTTTAGGCAGCAGTCCGTTCAACAGCAGTGTGTTAACCGAGAACACCGACGATTTCATCGTTGGCGACCGCGTTTGGGTGAATGGCACCAAACCCGGGTACTTGCAGTTCATCGGTGAGACCAAGTTTGCGAAGGGCGTGTGGGCGGGCGTAGTGTTAGACGACTTCTCCGGCAAGAACGACGGCTCCATTCACGGCGTCCGCTATTTCCAGTGCGAACCCTATCGCGGAATATTCGCGCGTTTGTATCGTTTGACTCGATTCCGGTTGGGAAGAGACGGCAAATATCACGCCGACGACTGCTTGTTGAAGACCAGAAGATCCACAACACCTGATGGCAGAGTGCGAACCACGACCACCCAATACACTACCAGCCCTGCCTTTCACTACGCGCTGCCCACCCGTCCCTCCAAAGCGACGACTCGCGTGATCACCACTACCGTCGACGACAACAACAACTGGAATAACGGCCACTTTAAGATCGGGGAACTGGTGGTCGTGGATACGAAGGACAGGGGTTTCCAGCCGGGAAGGGTGCGCTACTTCGGCACCACATCGTTCGCCACTGGGGTCTGGGTTGGGGTCGAACTCAAGGAGCCCTACGGCAAGAATGACGGCACTGTCGCGGGCAAGAGGTATGAATTCCTACATTCCTATCGTATTATTAACATATTGTTTACTACTTTTGACACTAATTTGCGACAAAAATATGTTTTCAAATTAATTGTCAATTTAGTAAATAATAAAACAAAACACAAATTAATAGCTTTTTCCTCTCATTCTATGTATGGGATTGTTTTGAAGTTATCTTTTTTATCTGTAGTCTTAAAAGCCTTGAATTCTCATTACTATTATTACAATTCCGATGAATGTTTCGCTTTACTCTTGTCTTTCATATATATTTACAGCGTTTTTGTTTCCATGAGTTTATTATTTTTTTCGCATTCAATTGACTCTAAAATATTTTCAGAATTTAATTAAAAAACTTTGAATTTCTAGTGTAGGCGTCAATAAATCACTTCTAATTAATCTATAAATAGTTTTTTATACACCACTCTATGTATCATAAAATTGGCATTAATTCAGCCTACCTATACATTGTATCACTTTTATAGTTTTTGTACTTTAAATTCCACTTTATATTTAAATTTCTATAATTATTTTGTAAACAACTTTGTTTATTAAACAAAATTATTTAAAACTTTCAGATACTTCACGTGTCCGAACCGATACGGACTGTTCGCACCGATAGACAAAGTGATTAAAGGCGAGCCCCGCGATACTTACACTAAGATCCACACCATAAACACCACTTCCGAGAGAACTCCCTGGAAACAGACCCGGGTATTAAAAGTTATTATTGAATCATGTTATCAGATCCATTAATTCATATTTTTTACGTCAATTTCAGTTCGCATATTAAACTTCTGTCAGTTTGGACTCATGGGGATTAGCCATGGATTAAGAAGTCATTTATAACTTTACTATTACTTTGTGCTGTGTTTTGATGCAAAACTTTTGAATAACAAATTCTGTGGAGAAATACCTTTTTTGAAATACTATTCCTATTATAAAATTTACAATAAAAACGATTACTATATTTGTTTACTATAAAAGTGTTTTGAATTTAGCTTTCCTTTAGAATAAGAGAAATAAAAGAAATTGTTTGCAGAGAAGAGCTATTGTTTGAACACTACTTATATTATATAACAATTCATTTCTATTCCTTTTATGCATAACTTTATTTAAATCAATACTTGAATACGTTATAAATAAAATGGTTTAATAATAAAACAAAT